AGTACAGAACAATAACAGTAACTGTTTAATTTGTTTTCTTCAAATCCTAACATTCTCACACTTGAAGTGTCATAATTTATTAAAGTAAAAACAACGATGTTTATTGTGTTATTGTTGCCCATTTGTGAAAGAAAAAATTCAAATGTACTTCATTATTTGTGGACATAAATTCTAGCAAAATCTAAGATTTAAAAAAAAAATCTTTATTGAGAAAATCTAAAAAGTGAGTGACTGGTAATTGTTGACAGCTGTCTCCTTCATCATGACTGCGTGTTTGCTCGTGTGTTTGGAGCAGAGGTCAGTGACCTCTCAGCATCAGCATCAGCCTCAGCATCAGCCTCAGGGCTGGACTCTGACTGCAGCTGAAGCCTCAAACATAAAAAAAGGCACAGTCTAAAAAAAAAAATAATAATAATAATCACAGCCATAAACTACACACGGGAAGATTCTAAATGTTACAATAAAAACCGTTTCGAAAAAAAAAAAGATGCTGAAATTTGGCATGAATTCAGATTAAATGCCCTGACAATAAATATTTATAATATCAAAATTAGAAAAAAAAAAATTCCCACTATTATGTTGTTGTTTTATTATGTGCTGCCAAGGTGTCAGAAACACTAATCCTGCTCTGAGACAGTGTGGAGCGGAGCTGTGTGGGATTTCATCATCTCCCTCTCGTTTCCTCCCTCAGGGCACAACCATCACGGATTGTCTTGCCTTTTAACCTCCAACAATACATTCTCATCTCGGGCTCTGCGCATTGTGTCATGCATTTATTAACCTCATATACAATTTGTTTCAACAAATTAATCTCCGGGTTCCTTTTTTTTCTTCTTTTGTTGCGCGTCGGGAAATTGACACCGAGTCTGTTGGAAAAATGGGGAATTGAATTCACTAGAAGAAGAATTAGGTTTTTTTTTAAATCTTTTCTTCTTTCCCACAACCACAGTGACTGAAGCAGTGGTTTATGAGGTGAACTTTATTGTTCCTGAGACTCTTAATACATTTTTTTGTCTTTTATTTTAAGCTTATAAGCCATAATAAAACTAAATACTGATTCTAACTGTTTGTTCTGCTTCTCACAGACCATCGAAGACACCAACGGGACCAACATCCTGGATCAGTCGGTCATTAAAAAGGGTACGTGCACACGCATACATGCACATCTATTTAAATCCACACATCCAAAGCCAAAAAAAAAAAAGATTTATCACGTCACATTTCAAGTTTCTGCCCAGCAACACGAGTGGTGATTTTATCGAATTAAAGCGAGTTTT